TTTTAATCAAAGTCTCACGAAGAAATCACAAAGCAGATCATTATGAAAATTCTTAATATTCAAAATGAAATTTTATTACTTTATCTATCATCTATTGTTGTCAAGTATAAGATTAACACATGATTTACATCCTACATAACAAAACCGAGATTGTTTTGTTTTGCAAACAACGAACATCATTACTTTTTTTCATGTTTTTTTTCTTTATTGTTATAGTAACACGCCTTTTTCAGGTAAAAAGAAGAAAAAAAAACACAATTTTATAATCTATAAAAAGAATAATTTTTTCTTTCACATATAAACATCAAAAGTGAGAATAAATAATATTTAAATAAGCAAGTAAGAGGATCTGAGTGACCTTACATATTTAAAAGAATAATGATTAATTTATTTCTTCGAGATTCATTAAATAGATCCAAACTTATTAAGTAATCAAGCTATTTATTTCTACGTTCTTGACTGATGAATTGTTATGTGATGAGATGTCTTTCCTTACATAAGGAGGCGCTTTCTATTCTCTTATGATATCATTAGTATGTACATCAATGACATTGGTACTCTTCTTTCTCAATGGTACTTTCATCATCGACAAAGAGTGAAATAATAGAAAGGAAGAATAATAAAATAAAAGTAGAAGCGATCTAACACGAATATATAAAATTAGTTTTTAAATTTTTATATTTTAATGAATAATAATTATCGATAGAAATATTCTATAGAGAACTCTTTTTCTAATAATAGAATAAAGCTTTTTTATGTTTAGTATAATAAACCATTGCAATTACTTGTTATTTTTTATAACGTAAACATTTTATATTATTTTCTGTACGTCAAAAATTTGAATTGTATTGTAAATTTCGTCGTTCTTTTCCTAAGTTCACTTAATGACTATTCAATTGAAATTTTTGTTTTTTTTTTCAAAAGAAAAAAAGAAAATAAGGTATCCAAATAGTTTTATAGAACAAAATGAAACAAATGAAATTTATTATTTACTTTTGTTTTGAAACATAATTCACTTTAAGTGGCAGAATAATGCTGTTATTTTCATTCATTTGTAAACATTCAAGCTCGGTCTCATTAATATTATTGATTGATTTCAATTCAAAACAAAAAATAAGGAAAAAAATACTTATGATAAACAAATATATAGATTTTGGAACTCTTTCTTTCGCTTATTTCTAAGGACAATCTACATGATTCACTTACATATCTAACTTTAAAAAAACTTCACAATCTTGCCCTCGTCTACACTCTGCAACTCTGAATATATTTTTTCCGACATAGTTCTTTCTAGTGAACTATGTTTTTTTAAAGTTTTTATTCGATCGATAATGGTATCCTCTTTCAGATGACGAAAAAGGATTTCGTATTTGAAGCTAACTATAAAAGTAATCAAATGATTTATAGAAAGCCTTACCAAAAAACCTTTTGATGTCTTAAGATTTTTAGGATCCGAAAAATGAAATAAAACAAAAAAGATCCTTTCTCTCATGCATGAAGTGGTAAGAAATTTTCTTTAAAATGAGATTCGTCCGAATGCTATAATCTGAGGTCTATTGAGAACATATTTATACCCGTGAAAGACTCATTTTGCATCTTGGCTTCTAGAAACCTCTTGAACTGTAAGATTCAGAGCTGTGAACATTTTTTATCGATATAGTTCCATCGACTAAATATTTTTAGAAAGTTCGATGAAAATTCCATGTATTATATCGAAAATCAGTTTTTACCGGAGGGGAAGCGATCTTAATGAACTAGTCAAGTGATAGAAAATAGATCGTTAAAACATAATTTATTACTAACCTTCATGGAAATATCATCAGCTAATTAAAATTTATTTCATTTTTCTTTTCAGATTTTTAATGCTCTATTCTCCTGCGTTACACACATATATATACAAAGTTTCTTTGTGATGTCTGACTGTTTTTCGTCGATCATATTTATTTTCTATTTGCACAATGTAGTTGCAACAGAGCAAGAGTATAGTTTACCTGAATTTGAAAACGTCGAAATTTTTTCTTTTATGAGTAATAAAATATTGAGATAAATGCAAATAAAAGAAAAGAAAACAAAAAATTAGTAATACATCTTGATTTTTAACAAGATGCAAACTATGTAGATACTAAGCAACCAAACATTGTTGATACACAAACCCTTGGGCGTCACAATCTTTGACACAGAATAAAATACATGAAAAAACTAATAACACAAGTAAAGAAAAAATAAATGGCTAAATTACAACTAGTTTTTTTTTGGTCTGTTTTAGATAATATTTTTTTCTAAATTTTACTAAACTTCTTTATACAAGAGTAGTTTCTAGTAAAACTTATCGTATTTAATTCCATCACACAATGTAAAGAGTATGATAAATTCAAACGATAGTAATATCGATTCAATTCAATCATTTTATGGTAAGAAAGGAAAACTTAATATAAAATATGAAATAGAATTAATTTTAAATAAAACCTTACAAATATTTCTACTATTCATTTATTTAAATCTTCATACCAGATGAACAAAATTCATCGATAACTGATCAAACTATTTCTACTGTTCGATTGACGTCACTTCAGGAACTAATGTGTAATTATTTAAATAGTTAAAACAAAATTAGTTAACCTAGTTTTTTTGTTATATAGTTCGTTCTCAATTGGCAGAAGAGTTACAACCAAATAATGCTGAACAGAATAATATTAATCAGCTTATTGATGATTGTAATAGAAATGAATTTGTTCATCATGACGAATT